GGGGGTGGGGGTGGCAAAGAGGGAAAAAAATCTCCCAACAAAGAAAAGCCCTGGACCAGATTGTTTCACTGGTGAATTCTTCCAAATATGTAAACAAAAGTTAACACAAATTCTTCTCAGACTCTTTCAAAATACTAAAGAAGGAACACTTCCTACCATTACCTTGAAACCAAGGCCAAAGACACTACAAACTATGGATCATTATCCTTGATGAATACTGATGCAAAAATCCTCAATGAAATATTAGCAAGCCAAATTTCAACAGCATATTACATGAATTATGCACCATGACTGAATGAGATTTATTCCTGTAACGTAAGGATGGTTCCACATGAAAATCAATCAATACAATAGAGCACATTAACAAAATGAAAAAAGCCACAGGATCATCTCAAATTTATGCAGAAAAGCATTTGACAAAATTCAACACCCTTTCATGATAAAAATATTCAACTAAGAATAAAAGAAACTACCTCAAGATAATAAAGGCCATGTATGATAAGCTCACAGCTATTATCCTACTCAATGGTGAAAGAATGAAAGTTTGTCCTCTAAGATAAGGAACATGATAAGAATGCCCACTTTGGCCACTTCTATTCAACACAGTGCTGGAAGTTCTGGCCAGGGAAATTAGAGCAAGTTGGGGGGGGGGTACCCAAATTGGGAAGAAAATAATAAAATTATCACAGTTTACAGACAACATGACTTAAATGTATAAAACCCTAAAGATTCCACATAAAAAAACCTGTTAGAATAAATGAATTCAGCAAAGAAATAGAAAATAGAAAATTCCACCCTAAAATGTATATGTATAAAAGGACCCCAAAAAGCCAAAAACAGTCTTGAAAAGGAAGAACACATTTGGAGCTCTCAACTTACTGATTTCAAAACGAACTACAAAGCTGCAGTAATCAAAACAGTGAGCAAGACAGACTTACGGAATGAAAAAAAGAGCCCATAGTCAGTCAGATGATTTTCAACAAGGGTGCCAAGTCCGTTCAATAGGAAAAAGGCGGTCTTTTCAACCAACAGTGCTGGGAAAACTAGATATCTACATGCAAGGGAACAAAGTGGGACCCTTACTTTATACCATCTACAAAAACTGACTCAAAATGGATCTAAGATTTAAACAAATGACCCACATTTCAGGCTTAAATATAGGAAAGCCTTCACAAACAGTGGAAAGGCTTCATGACAGATGATAGATACATGACACTGAATTTGGCAATTCTTTCTTGGATAGGACACCGAAGGCACAGGCACAAAAACAGATAAACTGGACCTTATCAAAATTAAAAACTTGGGGCGCCTGGGTGGCTCAGTCGGTTGGGTGTCCGACTTTGGCTCAAGTCATGATCTAGAGGTCTGTGGGTTTGAGCTGTGCTGACAGCTCAGAGCCTGGAGACTGCTTCGGATTCTGTGTCTCCCTCTCTCTGCTCTTCTGCCGCTCATGCTCTGTCTCTCTCTCTTTCCCTCAAAAAATAAATAAACATTGAAAAAAAAATTAAAACCTTGGGGGTGCCTGGGTGGCTCAGTCGGTTAAGCATCTGACTTCAGCTCAGGTCATAATCTCACGGTTTGGGAGTTCGAGCCCTGCGTCGGGGTCTGTGCCAACAGCTCAGAGCCTGGAGCCTGCTTGGGATTCTGTGTCTCCTCTCTCTGCCCGCCCCTCACCCCTCCATGCTCATGCCCTGTCTCTCTCTTTCAATAATAGATAAATGTTAAAAAAAAATTTTAAAAGCAAAAACTTGTGTGCATCAAAGGACACTATCAACAGTAACAAGGCAACCTACAGAATGGGAGAAAATATTTGCAAATCACATATTTGCTTTGGGATTAATATCCAGAATATATACACAACTACAACTTGACAACAACAGCAACAACAACAAACTCAATCTGATTAAACCACAGGCAAAAGACTTGATTAGGCATTTTTCCAAAGATATACAGATGGCCAATAACACGTGAGAGGATGTTCAACATCACTCATTGTTAAAGGAATGCACATCAAAATCACAAAGTGCTGCCACTTCTCACCCATTAGGATTACTATGATCAACAGCCCAGAAAATAAGAAATATCAGCAAAGATATGGAGAAATTGGAACCCTTGTGCACTGTTGGTGGGAATGTAAAGTGGTGCGGCCACTATGGAAAAGATCATGGTGGTTCCTCAAAAAATTAATAGCAGAATTACCATGACCCAGTAATTCCACTTCTGATATTAAAAGCAGAGACATGAACATTCTACACTCCTGTTTACAGCAGCATCGCTGTCTCCCAAAGGTGGAAGCAACCCAAATGAAACTCGAGGGATGAATAGATAAAATGTGATATACGCATCCAATAAGATAAAAAGCCTTAAAAAGAAGAAATTATGAGACATGCCACAACATGGATGAACCTTGAAAACATGCTAAGTGAAATAAGCCAGTCCTGAGAGGACAACCAGGGTATGATTCCACTCACACGAGGTACCAAGAGTAGCTGAATTCATAGAGACAGAAAGCAGAACGGTGGCGGCCAGGGTATGGAGGGAATGGGAAATCACTGTTTCATGCATACAAAGCTTCGGTCCTGCAAGATGAAGAACCTTCTGGCGATGGATGGTGGTAACGACTGCACAATGATGTGAATGTAACTGATGCCACTTAACTGTACACCTAAAAAATGGTTAAAATGGAAAACCTCTCATTTTTCTTAGATCTCTCAGTCCAACAGTCACTTCCAAGTCTTCATCTTACTCCGTCCCACTATTACACGTGACAGTGACCCTGGGACTGTCTTAAAACTCTTCTCCATGCTATCTTGGTTCCCTCTCTGTCTCTCCAACTACTACTTTTTTGGAATCTTCCTTTGCTTTGCCATACTGCATCAAAGGTCCCCCTCTTATTTTGCCACCCTTCTCTAGGCCACCCTAGCTACTGTTTGGGTCTTAACTGTCCCCTCTATGACGAGTTTTCAACAAGGTCAGAGAGGTTATGTTAGAGTGTTATCAGAATCGGCTAAAGGCCTCCAAGTACATTTTCTTCCTCATTTCTGATGCCTATCCAGTCCAGTTAGAAAATGAACTGCCTGGGGCGCCTGGGTGATTCAGTCGGTTAAGGGTCCAACTCTTGATTTTGGCTCAGTCATGATCTCACGGTTTTGTGAGTTTGCGCCCTTTGTCGGGCTCTGCACACTGGTTGCTCAGAGCCTGCTTGGGATTCTCTCTCTCCCCCTCTCTCTGCCGCTCCCCTACTGTGCTCTCTCTGAATCAATCAATAAGAAGGGCATTCCCCTTCCTCAATTAGGCCTGTGAATCTGGAGGGTAAGGATTAAATCTTTTTCATTTTTATCTTCCCAGTATCCAGCATAGTACTTGGAAACGCTGGATACATTCAAACATTTAAATTAAACTACAGGCCAGCAAGGTCCAACAGAACTTTTGTGCAATTATGGAAACGTTTTATAGTTGTGCTGCACAGTATGGTAGCCATTAGCCACAAGTGGTCACTGAACACCTGAAATATGGCTAATACAAGTGAAGAAGTGAATTTTTAATTTTAAATTATAATTAGCCACAATGGCTAGTGGCTACCACGATGCACAGTGCTGCTCTAGAAATCCCCCTGGGTCATCTAGCCTGCCTCAAATTATTTATTTTTATTTTCATTTTTATGTTTTTATTTGTACTTTTTATTCGTTTGTTCGTTCATCACTCATTTATGACCACAAGAGACAGGGATCAGAAACACCCTGATCCATTTATCCCCATAACTTTCACTATCAAAAACATAAAACAAGCATGCAAATTCTGAGAATTTGGGCTTCTTATATGATCTCATATGGCTTTCCTTTTTTTAAGTGTTACTCCTCAACATGATGCACTGGCACTATTCCATTAAGTCAATGATTCCAAAGAGGAAAGAAAGCATCCTACCATTTTCACAATGTAGTAGGCCATGGCATGCAAGTGTCGGGTAGATGTTCCACTACCAATCACAAAGTAATCTGTGTATTTCAATTCTGGAGGAACCTTGATCACGCAAATGTCTCTTGCATTCTCTTGCCTCAGAAGTGAAACCAGCATATCGATGTCAAACTTGGGGCCAGTATGATCTGAAATGCACAAAGATTCACTTGTGTCACGTGGCCAAGGAGACGACACTACATGCATGGAGACGCAGCAGCTAACAATGAAACTGCTCCTCTATGAGGGTGTTTAGATCTAAAGTGTTTTGAAAAACAGCAGGGCCCAGACCTCCTGGAAACTAAACCTGTGGTTTCACACAGCACCGCTCAACTTTCATGGGAAGAGTGCTCTGGTTACACAGAGCCACCATACATCCTTTGCTGTCACCGTTTGCAATAAAACCATACATCCACCACAAATGACTTTCTGTTCACTAATACTTGAGGAAATGAGCGATACACCTCAAACATACACAGAACTACAATTGTGAGCCGGAGGAGCTCTTAGGTAGTATGTGGTCCACAACCTTCACTTGAGAGATGAAGAAAACTAGCCCTGGTAGAATTAGTGCACCAGCCCCAAGCCATGGCATCCAAGTGTCAGGCAGAAGTTCCACTACCAATCACAAAGTAATCTGTATATTTCAATTCTGGAGGAACTTTGATCACGCAAATGTCTCTTGCATTTTGAAAGAGTTAAAACTTTAAGAGTGATTTTCATTTTGAATCCTCAAGTTTTTCTTAGAAAGGCCTTTGGGTTATGCAGCAACTGTTATCTGTGCAGACTTAACTTTTTTTCTGTACAGATGTGCATATTTTCTGTTCTTTACCTTGGAGTATTAGAACATGTAAATTTAGGGGCGCCTGGGTGGCTCAGTTGGTTAAGCGGCCGACTTCGGCTCAGGTCATGATTTCGCGGTCAGTGAGTTGGAGCCCCGCGTCGGGCTCTGGGCTGACAGCTCAGAGCCTGGAGCCTGTTTCGGATTGTGTGTCTCCCTCTCTCTGCCCCTCCCCTGTTCATGCTCTGTCTCTCTCTGTCTCAAAAATAAATAAGCGTAAAAAAAAAAAAAAAAAAGAACTTGTAAATTTATAGCTTTCTCTTACATTCCAAAGCTGATTCCCAAGAATCCAGTATCTAAGTGCACTAAGACCTCTCCCTCTCACACCCTAACTTTTCACAGACATACTCTACAACCACTCAAATTTCTAAAAACTTGCGATAATTAGAGGACTTCTATTGGCTCCGTCTCCTGTTAGCGATTCTTATGCACCTCTTAGACCCCAGCCCCTTGCTCTTCCTCAAAATCCTTACTCCCTAACACTTCCGGCAAGTCCAATTCTCGGGAACCCTAAGAAGAGTGTGAGGGGAGCTGAGGATGGTGAGATTGTGATGCCAAAGGTAAGGTGCGGCCTTTCGGACGCCTGGGGTTTTGGAGACGTCAGTTCATCTCCTGGCCTGTTAAACACACAGTTGGCGCCAACACCTGTGAAAACCCTTCCAGCTCTAGAGCAGTAGGAGTTTTGTGACTCCAAGAGAAATCCATAAACGGGGGAACTCAGAGCCTCCTCGCTGGGACCCGGCTCCCGGCTGCCCGGAAGGGTCGCCGCCGCCCTCCTCCGAGCCCGTACCTGCTGTGCTTGACTCCGGCTGCCCCTCACCGGCTGCCCCCTGAGCCCGCTCCTCCAGGCCGGGTCCGCCGTGCAGGCCGCGCGCGTGATCGGGAGTCAGGCAGGCCCGGTCGAGCGCCTGTCCCGCCTTATGCCACCCCGCGGCCAGCAGCCCAAGCCGGGGCCCCGCGCCTGCCGCAGGCCCAGCTCCCGGGGAAAGGGCCCTGCACCACAGCAACGACCCGAGTCGCCGCGCCACAAGCCCGCCAGAGCCCATCGCTGTAGCCCAGCGACGATTCACCGGGCGGGCCTTAATGGAGCCCGAGTGGGTTCTTCGGCTTTCGATTGGCTAGGCCAATGCGCGAAGGCCTGGAAAATTGACGTAAGGAGAGTGGGCGGGACCAGGACCCAAATACGGAGGTCATGGGCGGAGTCTGAAGGCCAGTGGGGACGCTGATGACCCGGAAGGGATTGTTGGGATTAGGTTTTGTGGGAGTCTAAGGACAATTTGACTGCCCACCCTTGCTGTGACCTTCGTCATAGCGCATTGCACCACGTTGTCCCCCCCCCCCCCTTTTTTTTTAAAGTCCACTTCCTTCACTTCACTTCCTAAACAGCATGAAGGCAGAAAGTTTTGTTTTTTGTTTTGAACTCTTGTCTCCACAAAGCCTGGAACAGGCTGAATGTTTAGAAGATGCTGCTGTCGATGGATGGAAGCAGAAAAATGTTTACTTTTAGCCCAAAAGGCTGACTATGGCCTGTACAGTTCTGATAAGGATGAAATGCTTACTAGTTGCTACATTCTTAAAGGGTCTCATGACTGCCTGTACCTCTCACCCAGGGTTAATATCTGGCTGAATTATAAGTAGCAGAGAAATCTTATGAAAGTAATTTTGTGAGTGAAAGTTCAAAGAAGACATTTATGATCTAATATTCCCTGTACATCCCCTTCCCCACCTCCAGCACTAAGCATATAACCACCCGTTTCATACAGCAAAAATGAGGCTCTTTCTGCCCAAGAGTCCTGTCCCCATGCTACTTAAATAGACTTAATAAGGTGCACTGTAAAACATTTCAAGAATTCTTTCTTGATCATTGTGCTAATGAAACTGCAACAATTACGCTAGAATTAGGACATAAAACGTCTATTACCAAGAAAATTATCAAGATTCCCTAGCAAATTTGAAATCTCATGAGGAAAATCTGTTATTCTGGGCTCAGGTGGGATGGGAAGCAGAGGTGTAAAGGCCCGTTGGGAAAACATTCTTAGCAGATCCGCCCTTCATGTACACTCCCCATATTGTAGTGTTTAGTACAACGGCCTGTACTGTGGTGCCCACCTCTGTGAGAACAAGGAGTGCTGAGGCCCAGTTAAAGTATTAAACCATAGGATTTGAGAGCTAAAAGAGACCTAGGGAGGAAAAACCACTTGCGCATAGCCAAGCACTGCAGAGCCTGAAGTGGGGTCCAAACCCATGAACAATGAGATCATGACCTGAGCCGAAACCAAGGGTCAGACACTTAATTGACTGAGCCACCCAGGCACCACCCAAAGGTTTTTTTTTTGTTTGTTTGTTTTGGTTTTAATTTAACTTCTTGTCTTCGTTCTCGCTTCCTCAGTCTGAGCCCCCCATTAGCTCTTATCTAATTACCAAGACGGCCTCCTACCTAGCTCTCCTATCACCAATCCATTTCTACTGTTTCCATTCTTCATGATGCCATGCTGTCTACTAGAATTATTTTAGCCTCATCTGCTACCTGCTGTTTTCCAAGAATACCATAAAACGTTTCAATGCTGAGCTTTGCACATGCTATTTCATTGTTTAGCATGCCCTTCCTCCACCTTTTCACATGATGAACTCAGACTCACTCTGTAGGACATACCTCAAACATTTAGGTGTAGCCCCCACTCTCTCAGATGGTCCATCATGTGAGAAGCCACCGGCAGTGCTCTGCGATGCCCTAAACCACAGGGTCAGTGCTTCATCTTATGGCAGTCCTTGATGCCCACTTCGACTGGATTCCCTGTCCTTACAGCAGGAAGATCATGCCAGACAAACCAACACACAAAACATCTGAGAAAGCATGCAACACAGACTTGTGCTCCATGGGGACTTTGGGGAAAAAAGATAGTGCCTTATCCCTACATTTATAAAATAGTGAGGCCATAGTGCTCCTATTCTCTTTAAAAGGATTTGCTCCCCCTTCCGATTAGGAGGTTTACAAACAGGAGGACAAAACAATTAAAAAAAATTTTTTTTTAACGTTTACTTATTATTAAGAGACAGAGAGCACAAGCATGGGAGGGGCAGAGAGAGGAGTAGACACACAATCCGAAGCAGGCTCCGGGCTCCGAGCTGTCAGCACAGAGCCCAACGCGGGGCTCGAACTCGCGAACCGTGATATCATGACCTGAGCTGAAGTCAGATGCTCAACCGACTGAGCCACCCAGGCACCCAGACAAAACAATTTTTAAATAGAAATACATAAACTTAGAGTAGCTGTAACTAATGGGATTTGTAAGAGAGGTAATTTTAATCCTAGCCCTTCTCTCTGCATGGTCTCCTGAGGGCAGGATTAGTACAAAGAAAGTGGAAATCTGGGGGAAAGGATGACACTTAAATGAGGCAGGAATATTCACCCACAACTGCTCAGCGATGAAATGAACTGTCCTATGAGGTCAGGAAGGACAGCTGAGTCTGGAAAGTAGTGGTCCCAACTTTTTAAATTTTAATAAACTTTTGTTTGAAAAATTGTGACTCTTTGAATACATGCATGACAAAAAGCTGCTATGAGCTAAGCAACATTTTTAACTAAAATCATATTGAATTCCAATTAGCATCATTTGCTGTGGGAAACATGTTTATTCTGTCCAAAGACAATGTTTGATCCATATATGGATTTGAGGATCCTTTGCAACCAACAGGAGGCTCATGGTTTACAGATTAGGAAACAAAGATGTGTAAGAAATTAATGCATAGAATCAGCAAAGGTTGGACTTGATAAACTTCTCAGTCCCCAAACTATATGAATTCAATCATTAACTTTTTTTTTCTTTTTAAAAAAAATTTTTTTAACGTTTATTTATTTTTGAGACAGAGAGAGACAGAGCATGAACGGGGGAGGGGCAGAGAGAGAGAGGGAGACACAGAATCTGAAACAGGCTCCAGGCTCTGAGCTGTCAGCCCAGAGCCCGACGCGGGGCTCGAACTCACGGACCACGAGATCGTGACCTGAGCCGAAGTCGGACGCCCAACCGACTGAGCCACCCAGGCACCCCATTAACTTTTTTTTTCAAGTATGCTTCACACCCAGCATAGAGCCCGATGAGGGACTTGAGCTCACGACCCTGAGATCAAGACACGAGCTGAGATCGAGGGTCAGTTATTTAACCAACTGAGACACCCAGGTGCCCCTCAGTCATTAATTTATTAAACAATTATATGTCAGATGTGATGTTAAGTGCCCCATGTGTGTGTACATCAGGGAAGCTTGCTCAGGCTTTCTCTAGTTTAGCCCCTGGGCCCTGCTTTGTCCCAACTTGCTCTGTTCTTCTTTCCTCTCTATTCTCTTTGAAGCAGGTCCCTGAGGCCCCTCAGGTGTTGTCACCCCAAGTAGCACCCTCACCCTCTCCAGCCACTGAGACTAGCTGCAGAGGACATCCCTGTGACTGCTGCTTCCCACTGTCCTAACTTCCCATGAAGCCTCAGGAAACAAGTTTGGGAGCCTTTTGACTGTGGCAAACAGGGCAAACGGGAGGCTCCTGAATCAACACCCCAAGGATGTTATTAGGGTCTATAATCTTAGGAAGTCCTTTTAGTCATGGGCTCTGGTTAATTTATAATTCCTGAATCCCTCAGTAAGCTGCTTTAACCCTCTGTTCTCAGCACCTCAAAGGTAGAGATTACCAAGCCGTCATCCCCTTCTGATTCTGCCTTTTAGAAGCAACCACAGAATGAAAACAAAATCCAAGCCTAACAGCAGATAGCCCTGTTCTCAAGTGGGGGCATTTTGTATTTCTGTGGGTCCCGCTAATGGGTAATATTCCACCCCCCCCAAGTCTTTACCTCAGGTAGGAAGGAAAATCTGTGAAAAAAACTTGTGTTAACTAACATTAAGGACACAGAGCTGACAAATATTGCCTATGAAATCATAGATTATGAGAAACTGCTGTTTGGAATTCTTTTTTTTTTTTTTTAAGTATTTATTTATCTTTGAGAGAGTGTGACAAGGGGAGGGGCAGAGAGAGAGGGAGACAGAGGATCTGAAGCAGGCTCCACGACAGCGGAGAGCTCGATGCAGGGCTCGAACTCACAAACCATGAGATCATGACCTGAGCTGATCATGACCTCATGCTTGCTTGAAGCATCAGAGGCACATGGGTCATTTCACACTGAGAAGCAGTTTTGATAACTCTCTCTCCATCCCCGGTACAACACTTTAGATAAAGGGGTTTCAGACACAACTCTCCACATTTATCTCAACTTTACATTTCTCGGGAGCAAGCCCCCTGAGTCTGCATCTCAGCTCTGCTGGTAATGAAACTGTGACATCCCTAATGGAACCTAAAACAACATTACTAACAGGACATTGTTTCTCCCCAGACCCCACGACCCTTCTGAGTAATTGAACTGCAGATCCATGGACTTTCTCTGGTGGCATTAAATAATGATTCAGAAGCTCTGTGGCCCTTTTGACCCAAAAGGTAAATCAAAGTTTCACCCCCCACGAACAATACCTTGGGCTGTTTTCTTTTTGCCAAAACCCAATTTCTGACTGGACTCTGAGTTTTTCTGTTCAGATCTGTTGACAATTCAGTAAAAATTCTGTTTGCTTTTCCTTATAATAATCCCAGTTTTATGAATTTTCTCTATTTCATAATTATTACAAGACTTCAGTAATTCTCAAGGGCAGATGAGTGTAGCTTCTGATGGCTAAACTTCAGACAGTGGGTTCAAAGCAAACAGACTTCCTCCTCAGCAGACCTGATTAGGTCTCTGCTTTGGGTTGTTTCCAGGCTGGTGCCAAGTCACCACTACAGGAGGGTGCTCATAGGCAGTGAGGGGACAGCTTACCGATCGGTCAAGTTTGAACTTAGGATCTCATCCTTACAACTACACAGTTTTATTTATTTTTTTATTTTTATTAAAAAAATTTTTTTACATTTATTTATTTTTGAGAAACAGTGAGACAAAGCGTGGGTGGGGGAGGGGCAGAGAGAGAAGGAGACACAGAATCCGAAGCAGGCTCCAGGCTTTTAGCAAGCGGTCAGTATGG